GCTTCCGCAATATTGTTGAATACTCCGTACTGTATATCTTATGAAAAATTATTGGGATTAATAAAGTGTATTTGAAAAGTTTTAAATTTTTACGATTACCAAGTTAATACTTTTGTCCGGAAGGGGCTGCAGACCTGGACGGATTAGGGTGTTACAAAACTTGTCTTCTTCCACCCAACATCCTCCTTCAAGTCCTCGTCATCTTCTTTATTTCAACTCGTCTTCCTTCCCTTTTGAGCAGGACCTAAGGCGTAACATGGCATTGCATCTCCGACGGAGCTGCACTGTCGGGTGGTGTCATCTCCGTTGGATCTCACCGGACGGTGTAAGTGTGTAACCCATGCTTGATTTGGATGGATCTAAGGGTGTAAGCATTGGCGGATATTCTTGATCTGAGGGTTTAAGCTATGATGGCTCATGGCTCTCTGTCAGATCTAAGGACTCTGATTCAAGTTTGTGGTGATGGTGGTCAGCAGCGACAGCTATTCCGGTGGCGGAGTATGCCCTGGAGTCGCGATTCATGGGGGCATGGCCGGATGGAACGAGCCGCAAGTTCTAGGAGGTGGGCTGATGGCATAGAGTAGTAGATAGAGAGGGTTGGACAAAGCCAATGTCATCTCACAAAAAATGTCATCTCACAAAAACTTGTGAAGAAAAATAATGGACAAAGGGAGTATTAAGCATTTTATATTAAGAAATAAAAATTTTCTAAATGCATTTAATTAGTAAATCCTTTAATATAAAATTTGAGAGTTGATGGATTAGAATTTTGACATGTGGAAGCTTAAGTCTTTTAATTTGATTACACGTGTAAAATGACACGCGTCCACTCCTTAGCAGTCACGATTCTTTCCCTCTCTAGCAATCCGCGATCTATGATCGGCAAAAATACTCTGCGGTAGATCTTCACCCTTGCAAGGAAAGTCCCTATCAGGATTCGCTGATTCTTCGCGTGGATTTTGAAATCTACGCCCTTGCGTTAGATCTTCACGGAAGGAAAACAAATCTACAAGGAAAGTCCTGATGATTCTTCTTTGATTGTTTGCGGAATCTTTGTGTGGATTCTGAAATCGCCGATGGCATTTCTACCGTTTATATGTGCAATTTTTACCCTTTTGGGGCCGAATCTTTCTCGATTTGGTGTTGAAAATCGAAATCAAAGTCAAAGAGATGTTAGTGGGGCGTTAAAAATTAAAACTTTTAATGGGATCTGTTGCTTTTCTGGAATTGTGATTGCAGCAATTACAGTGTTAAAGGAGGAGTTGAAGAGGTGTAGAAAGTCATTGGGTGAACCAGTCTTGGAAGAATTTCTTCCAGTGAAGAAGACTCCAATTGATGATGATGATGATGACGACATAAACAATGTTTAGAATGTCAAGGAGAAAGACTGCAAAGAAAAGGTAAAATGGACAAGCTTTTTTAAGCTCTAGGACGGCGGCGATAAGGGTTGCAGCATTTCAGACTCTGGCACTGCCAAACACGGCCTAACAACAAATCTCAGAACAATGGTAAAACCACTATATGCAATCTGTTGAAGCTAATAAATCTTACATTTGTTTTTTTATAGAATCATAAGTTTGAGTTTTTGTTGGTTGAATTGGTTACTTAGCAATTATTATGTCTGCTGATGAAGTAACATGGATTCAATCATGAATGAGTAATTGATGTGTTGGTTTAGTCTAAAAAACAAGAAATACGGGGACAGGATTGGATTGCCGAGCTTTGAAATAAGCTGATTCTTTGTGGATTCTTCGCACATGTATACTGAAATTATCTTCACACATGTATACGAAAATTATACGGAAACTATTTCTTGAATATTTATAAATCAATCAAAAACTAATGCCTGCATATTTACTTTATTATGAAGATGTTACATGCTCTGATGAAGAAGAAGAAGATGGTCTCCCGTTCTGCATACATGACTATCATTTTGGCGCAGAGATAAATGTTGGGAAACTGGATTCTACCATAAAACGCTTAGGATTCGGCTCTTCTTTTATTTTGCAGATGATTGGCCAGGACGGCAGTATCGCTGCCTCATCCAATTTTTTTTTTTTGCAAAACCGAAATTTAAGTTTCTTTAAATTTTAATTTACACTTATTATAGAAAATAATGTTTAAATCTTAATTTTCACATATTATATAAAAAATTGTTTTAAAAATTTTGCATATTGTAAATAAATGATTTTAATATGTTAATGTTTACATTATTGTAGAGTTGTTAATTTTAGAGTTTTACTCTAAAATTGAATGATAACTCAATTTGAGTTGAATGGTAGAGAGCTCTACACTGATTTGAGTTTGATGAGTTTAGTTTTAATTTTTTAATGTGTGTTATTTGCTTCTCAGCTAGGGTTAAAAATAGCGGCTCGCGGATGTTCGTCCAAAAAGTGCTCTATATGCTTCCTAGCTTGGGTTAGTACGAATAATACTCAATTTGAGTTGAACCGTCGCCTTTTTAGTGCGAGAAGTAGTCTTTTCTCTAGAATCTTTGGATCTGTTGGCACATTGAAATTCAACATATGTTCTGCTTCTACACTATTTGGAGCAGCCCTATGTTGCTTACAGTTAGTATGTTCAAGTAATCGTCTTCTGCTTTTCTTTTTCTTCTTGCAATTCACACTTTCCTGTTTGTAAGATCTTTAATTAAGAATTTATATGAAAACCAACCTTTATGAATGAATGTCCTATTGTATTTTTTCATTCTAACTGCAGGCTTTCTTTGTTCAATTAAACTCCACATGGACTCTAGAGATAAGGTACTAAACTAAGTTGGAGTCTACACTTTTAACAATTTTCTTTGAAAAGTTTAGTTTATCATAATGTGTTGTTCTGTGAGTAGGAACTAATGGAGTTGTGATACTTCAACCTAGACCTATCAAAATTTCGAGATTTGTAAGAATTTGGTGGGAAAAAGGAAAAACCAACATTTCTACACCCTATCTAGCGTGTTGTCTCCAACAACACAATATCGTATTGTTGGAGACAACAAAGTTATGCTATAGCTTTATGCATTTCAGCCACAAAGTATATAATGATCCCCTTTATGATTGAAAGATAAATTATCGACAGATACGATTTTATCATGATTCATGATTGAAAACTATTGAAGGTATTTTTAGTATTATTGGCTCTGACAAGGAAGATGTAATTATCTAGACCTTTAATAGTTACAATATTTTACTGACATTTTTATTTGTGGTTTGTTTTAATGATTGGTCTATGTTTTCCTTTCAGAACTTCGACACGGTGCAACTCTTTTTTACATGATTTATAACATTAGTGATAACAATAGAAGGTACTACAGTTCATGTGGGCACTACAAAAGGGTAATAGAGGGTAGCGAGTGAAACTCTGGTGCAATCATTTCTTCGCAAAGATTATCCCCCAAAGTTACGCAGATTTTTCCAGTTTATTCTTCGCCCAAGGAAGGAGTTCTACACCAACTCATTATTCCTTGCCGAGAATCCTTAATTATGAATGAAAACATAGTGAATGGAAACATGAAATTTATGCCGGGTATCTTCTCTTCTTCGCCAAAAATTCAGATCTGATTCCCTTCTCCTTCTCCTTCTTTGTTTATCCATGGATATCAATGTCAAATTTCTCCTTATTTTGCCATTTTAAAGATATCATATCTCTCCTGTGGCTTCTTCATCTCTATTTTCTTTTCACTACCGCTTGATTTTAGGGTTAGATTTTTAATTGTTTATATGAATTGTTATTTATTCCGTCCTTCATAAATTTCAGGCAAAAAGTTGTAATTCAACGTTTTGCATCAACAGCGGTCAGACCAAGGAAGTTGTCATCGGATCAATAATGAAGTGGAATTACTTGGTAAGCTATTATTATCAAAATTCTAATTATTAAATAGTGAAATTGTATTATTGGTCAGATTGTATTCTTTTCTGACTTTTAATCCTATGCCATATTGGCAGAATTCTCTTTATACATACAAATTTCTCTAATTTTCCTTCAAATGTCGGATCTAGAGATCGTTTGGTAGTTGTTATCCCAAGTCCCAACATTCATGCACCATCTTAAAAACACCACGCTTAGAGTAATGATTTAACTCATTTTAAACTTTTTGATACTGATCAGTACTTCTTTTTCCTCTCCCCATGGCCTAGACTATCCATGCTTGATAAAAAGTACTCCCGCAAGGGGGTGTTGGAAGATAATGGTTTGCTAGGGTTTCAAAGTATTAGTTTTAGATGACAACGGTAACCCTTGCAATTGTACCAAAAATGTGGTTTACCCTGAAGTTTTCCAAAAAAAAATTGGATTTAATTGATACATTTGTACATTCTTTTCAATTTTTATATGCATGAATTTTAGTTAGCTTACTCTGTTTATGTTGCATCTAAAATTCTATATTATATCTACACTCAGATGTTTCTCTAAAACACGAATGTGTTAGTTTTAATCATTCGAGAGAAAAATTAGTACAATTTTAGAAACTGTACAATGTTCATAACAATACTGAATCCTAACGACCATTTTAGGACCTGTTAAAAGATTCTTTGTACTAATTACATAAAAGTAGTAATCTACCCTAGATGAAGTAAGTACTGACTGATGAAAACCCAAATCCGTGTCAATACTTTTGAAATATCCTAAAGAATGCTGTATAATGATTGTTTGGAAGGGATAATAAAGCATCATGTTTAGGACCTTTCTAAAATAAGGTCCTTAAGTGTGACATCCTCATAATCTGTGTCATATATCAATAGTTGCTATATTTTTGATGTCTATATTAGGATGTCTATATTTTTGACATCCTCATCAATAGTTATTATTATTATAACTATTAGGTGCAAGATATATCCTTTACATATATATATATTCTTTATGTTTCCTTTCAGTTCTGCTATATGGATGTCTAAAATCTTAAGGAAATATCCTAAAGAATGCTGTAGGCTATGGATAATTTGCACCTAAAGAATGCTATTAACATTTAGGATTTAACACCGTAAGTGTGTTTCAAACTATTTTAGTCGCCTTTTTAGAGTGCACGGATGAGAACCCAAATCCATGTCAATGCTTCCATGAGTAAGGTTGCTTCACTTCTTCGTTACTGATTTGTAGTTAGAACAAAGATGTGTGGGTAGTAGTAGTGTGTAGTTAATCCCTTTTTTAGCTCAACAAGGAAAGTGTTCAGTCCTTTCAAGGGGAATCATGGCGACACTTATGATCTTCTGTAAGTTACAGGACTCTTGGTGGGATGCCTCAACTTCAACCTCTTAAGTTATCGTGTGATGATATTTCAAGTTCAAAACAAAAAGAATTCCTTGATACAGCCCAATCGAGAGTCGTTGCTACCAGGTATTCAGGTATTTATAACATTTCTAAGAATTCTACACGCAATGTTTTTAGATATATTTCATTTTATGCTTTTTGCATTAAATAGTTTGTCATATGCAGTATGTTATGTAGAGATTACATATATGTGAACTAATATATGATTATTATTAAAAAAGATGGATCTTATGTAGTGTACGGAACTATTGTTGTAGTGAAGTGAACAATAACACTGATTAGTGGTATTTATCGTGCAAGTGCAGAAGAGCTATTGAACCCAATGGTGCCATGTATTATTGCATGCGTTGCTCATGTCATATATTGAATCTCAGCCAAGGTTCAAGTATAGTCTCTGCTCCAAAATCTGTATTTACTCTCCTTGGTATAGCTTCCCTTGGTATGTATTGAATTTTTTTGGCAGGCATCTCATCAAGCTCTCTGTTAAAGATGATTATGCGGTACAACTATGTTATTCTTAACTTACCGTATGACATCCTCCATTTTGCTTACATTGTGTGCCCTGTTGATAGAGAAAACCGATGTTGTATGGACTTTTTATTCTAACTACATGATTAATCTAATACCACGAAATATTTTATTCATCATAACTTTTAGTTTGATTGTTTGACTTTACCATGAAATATTTAATTCACTTATATAATGTAAAATATTAGGGAATAATTGCACACAAGTGATAACTAAACTACCATAGTTCACTTTGATTTTTTAGTGTATTTTGATTAAATCTAATACTCAACGTAATTATTATATAGAGTATCTATTAGTGTTTTTTCATTGATTTTAGATACTGAGTATCTTTTAATTAAATTAGTATGTCTAGGAATACACTCTTTAATAGTAGGAGGATATGTTAATAATGTAAATTAAAGGATTTTGTTACATTTTAAAAATGTAAATTTAGTACGTATGTATTTATCGCGTTTTTGTATCGAAATTGATTCCGAATCATACGAAACTAATATTTTGGGATCAAGACGACGCAAAATTCTATACCAAACCAAAATATTAGTACGATATCGATACGAGTTAAATACGATGCCATTTCATAACATGCTCACTCCTACACATTCCAAATAACTTTTGAATTATTTGGGACTAAACCAAATTTCCACTGGAAATTTCATCTCAAACCAAAAGAAACTAAAAGTTTATGAAAATTTTGCAGAATCCTGGAGATGGCAAGTCCTCATCTATTTTAAATACAACTATGTTTGTGTTATTTGTATACTAATGTAAAAAAAAGGATTCGTATTAGAATGAAATTAATTTTGACAAACCAAAGAGTTTGACGACTCATTTAGTAAGATTTCATTACTAAGGATGATGTATACAATCTAAATTTTAAAATATTTTATAATATTATTTAAAATTTGTAAATTATGTAAAATTAATGGATTGTTTTAGTTCTACATCGACTTAGATAGATTATACTCCCTTCGTTCTTAAAGAAAGTTCCTACTTTGAAAAAGTGGAAAAATAAGAAAGTGTTAAATTGTAGTTGATTTCCAATTTTGCCCTTGATGTGATGGATAAAAGTAAGATGTGATGGGTAGATTATTAGAGAAAAAAGTATGATGTGATAGGTAGGGTATGAAAAAGTAAGGATAAAAGTGGTTTTTTAATAGAAAGTGGAAGTGTTTTGTTAGAAATGAAAAAAATGAAAGAAGAAGTGTTTTTGAGAATGGAGGGTGTATTACATTTTATTGGCAAGATTTTAAAAGACTGTGTTAGATTGTTTAAAATCGAAATAATAATGTGGAAGAAAAAAATTTACCGTGAAAAAGATGGGAACAAAAATAAAAATAAAAAGCCAAAAGTTTATCAAAAGAAATAAGTTTAGTGTGAAAAAAAATTGAACTATGAGAAATAAATTGAACAAAAAGCAAAAAAGATTAACGTCAAATCAAAATTGAACAAAAAAAACAAAGAATTGAAAACAAAGAATTAAATGTTAAATGCTATATTATTTATTCTACTTTTGATGTGTGTAGTATTAAAAATCATATCAAAATATATATTTTTATTCTTTAAATATTTTACATTGAATAAAAACTATAGAATCGGTATTCACTCACGGTCAACTTTATGTTACACTTTCACGCGTGAAAACTAAGAGAGGATTGAAAGTATTAGTTTTAGATGACAACGGTAACCCTTGCAATTGTACCAAAAATGTGGTTTACCTTGAAGTTTTCCAAAAAAAATTTAGATTTATTTGATACATTTGTACATTCTTTTCAATTTTTATATGCATGAATTTTAGTTAGCATACTCTGTTTATGTTCTATCTAAAATTCTATATTATACTCCCTCCGTTCGGAAATGTTCTTCCCATTTGACTTTTCACGGTCTCCAATATTGCGCTTTGACCATTAATATCTATATTTATACATAGATAAATTTTGTAAAAATTTGATATTTGAAAACTATGTTTCATTATGAATATATTGATATTAAATTTACATTGTAATACAATGTATCTTTTCCACAAATCGTAGTCAAAGTTTACAAACTTTGACCAAGAAAAGTCAAATGGGAAGAACATTTCCGGACGGAGGGAGTATCTACTTTTATTTTATAATTATTTACTTAAAATAAAAAATTAGCAGATTTAAAAATAACATGCGTTCGACCCCGTGCGTTGCACGGGTTAAATACTAGTGTTTTGAAAATATATTACTACATACTTTGTAAATGTATTGGAAAAATTTGTGATCATATTAAAATTATAAAATGTTATTGAAAAATATTACTCCCTCCGTCCATGTATGATCTTCCCATTACGCGTTACGAGGCTTGACCGACTTTATTTTCAATTCAATTTAATTGATTATAGGTCTAAAATTTTAAAATAAAATTTTAAAATAAAATAAAATTTTAAAAAGAGTACTTAACTGTAATAATACTGATCTCTTCAAGATCTCAGGTAAAGTATGAAAATTTTGTTAACCTTTTCATGTTTGTGACTTTCATGTTTCTTTTATGTGCTTATTGATGAGTGTGCTCTTCTATCTTTTTCCTAAGACTATATTGTTTTCTAAATCACATGCATTTCTCTTATTGGCTCCTTTTATTCTTTCACTGCAGGCAGTTGTTAGTTATGTAACAATGTAGTTTCAACTTTGTACCGTGTTTTTCACTTTCTCTTTAGGCACAAGAACACATTACTTTGGACGGACTATTCTTCATGGTGGAGCTATGGTATGTTTGCTATTAAGCTATATATGCACATGTTACTCTAACTAACATTGGCTTATCAAAAAACTTTTATTATTTTCAACCGTATCAAGCAACTCGTAGAGGCTTTGTTGTTCGACACATTGAGTTTTCTGAGACTATAGGCTCTATGCCCGCAGTCATTTTGCCAAGGGGTCTCTCTCTCTCTCTCTGTCTGTCTCTCTCTCGTATCCTGTTCTTTTGTAATTATGTCCCTATGGTTCCGCATATGCATGCATTTTAATATATTATGCTTATCCCTACTCAGGGAAAGCTCTAAATATTGTTATTTCACTTTTTCAGAATGGAGATTGTACTTTTGTTGGTTGTATACCTTGCGTATGGCTTTAGCACACGTGCTTTATCGTACATTCTTCTCACGATTAGCAGCTGGTTCTTGGCTATTTCTTGGCTATTTGCACCATATTTGTTTAATCCATCTGGCTTTGAGTGACAAAAGTAAGTTTACCTCACTATGCTTCAACACTGTACATAAGCTTTTGTGTTGTTTCATTTTAAAAGTTCATTTTCTGGCCCATTGCAGGAGGGTGGAGGACTTTAGAGATTGGACAAACTGGCTTCTGTATAGAGGTGGAATTGGAGTTAAAGGAGAAGAAAGTTGGGAGGCTTGGTGGGATGAGGAGCTGGTATAGTAATTTTTATTCTAGCTTAATGCAATCTTGCCTATTTCAGTTATTTTTTCTTATCTTCTCTACTTTCTTAACAGGATCATATTTGAACTTTAGGGGGGAGGGTAATGGAGACCATTCTTAGTTTAAGCTTTTTTATATTTCAATATGGCATTGTATACAAGCTACATTTACAGGGAGATAATACATCAATGGATGTTAAACGTGCCTTCCTCAATGGTTTTATTCAAGAGGAAGTGTATGTTGACCAGTCCCCCGGGTTTGAAGACTTTGAGTATCCTGATTATGTCTTCAAACTCAAGACTTTGAGCATTCCTTTTCACTTTTCTAGTTATGGGCTTCAAAGTGCAAATCTTAATTTCATAAGACCTTACCATTTTCATTGGCAGATAGCAGACTTGGCAATCGGGTCAATCGGTTCGGTTCCAGTTCGGGTCTTTTCAGTTCGGATTTCTTTCAGATATATGTTATAATCGGTTCGGGTCAGTTCGGTTCCGAGTTTATTTCGGTTTAATTGGTTTTTGGTTTTGGTTCGGTTTCGGTTTGGGTTTATATCGGTTCAAGTTTGTATCGGTTCGGGTTTATATCGGTTCTAGTTTATATCGGTTCGGGTTTATATCGGTTCAGGTTTGTATCAATTCGGGTTGTATTGATTTGGGCTTATATAGATTTGAGTTTATATCGGTTTAAATTTATATTAGTTCAAGTATAATGTAAACACATACTAATAAATGAATAATATCACATAATAAATTTAGTTAATTTAGTTAACTATAATTTTTATATATTTTCTATAAAAAATACAAAAATATTTTAACTTAAGTTATAAAATACAAAGTAAAAAGATTTGTACATGAAAGTAGTTACATGGTTTGCACCCATAATTTAAATATGTTTTTTTAGAAACACATCAACATATGTAAAAATATATAGGTAATTCGTTTTCTCCAAATTCATTTGATAAATGAAATGTTAATGAATTTGATGAATTTCGGGTCTAATCGGTTTCGGGTCTAATCGGTTCCGAGTTTAACCAAGTTTGGGTTTAATCTGTTTGGGTTTAATCAGATTTGGGTCTAAATCGGGTCTGAATACATTCGGTTCGGGTTCGGTTCGGTTCGGATCATTTCGGGTGTTCGGTTCTATTTCGGTTCTTCAGTTTTCGGGTCAATTCGGGTTCGGTTTCAGGTTATTCGATTCGGGTTATCGGGTCCAGGTCAGTTTTACCAGGTCTATTGGCAGATAATCATAATGCTTTGACTGTTGCAAGCTTCTGGCTCCTGTTTTTTAGTAAGTATCTATCATGTTAACTTGATGATTTGCTTTTCCCTTTTTTTCCTGTGAGAGTTTTTTAACAATATGGTTCACTATAGTACAACAACAATAATTACCGAGTATAAAAACATAAGGTTGTTTTCGTTAGACTCTCAATGCATTGCTGCATTTACTACTCAAAACCTCTTTGAAAATAAGAAGCAAGGAAAGTATAATGTGCCATTTTTATTCAGTGTATTATGTGCCCGAAACTAAAGCATTGTTAATGATGATGATACAATCAACAATGTCTTAGAGTTATTATTAATAGTTATTATTATTAGTGATTAAGATTGTTATTATTATTATTATTATTGTTATTGTTATTGTTATTGTTATTGTTATTGTTATTGTTATTGTTATTGTTATTGTTATTGTTATTGTTATTGTTATTGTTATTGTTAGTAGTAGTAGTAGTAGTAGTAGTAGCAGCAGCAGCAGCAGCAGTAGTAGTAGATAAATTTGGTCTCGTTTTCTCATTCTCTCAACTTCTCTCCATCTCCACCCACCCAGAATTTCATCGTCGTTCCCTCATTTTCTCTCCATCCCTACGTAAAGCTCATCGTCAGACAGGTATTAGATCTAAAAACTAGGCTCTTCTAAAATATAGATCTGAATTATATTTTTTGAGGTTTGAGTTTAGCTTTTAAATTTTGAAACTAAAGTGGACGAGGCGACAGAAGAGCCTAAGGTGAGATGGAGGATGTTGTTGAAGTCTATGTTGGGTCGGGCGGT